AACCCTCCTTCGTCCGGTGCTGGTGTTTCAAGTTCGCCAGTCCGGGGAGTCTTAGGCAAGTCGCAGATCGACCCTTCCTCTTCGTATGAAAGAAGGGCTCCGGTTACCTGGCAGGGGGTTGGTGCTTGGCTTAGGCCAAGTTCCAATGAAAATCCCGCGGCGGAATGATCCGGCCAAACGGGTGCTCTTCTATCTTCTTCTTTGAGCCCAGTGGACTCATGCACTTTGCACGTTTTTTTTGAAATGCTTGAAGAAACCAACATAAACACAACGGGTCATCAAGAAAGAACATTCCTACCCTATGAAAGAACAGACAAGTGAAGAGAAGGGAAAAGGGAGTTACTAGACTCCAAGGAAAACTAGTTCACCCTTGAAGATTCTCACGAGAAGGAACCAACCACTATGTATGAAAGTAGGGGGAGTGACACTCATTTTCCTGAGAGAAAATTTGTGAGTTATGGGTAGGAAGCACTGGGTGCACCAAGGGAATGACACTTGTACTATGTGTGTCCCACTTGGGACTTGTGTTTGCATGATGGGATTCGAGCGTCCTGCTTTTCGGAAGGAAAGGATTGGTCTACAACGGTCAGTGCGGGCTGCGAAACGTCGTTCTTTTTTGTAGGCTGCCGTGTGTTCGTATGTGGAGGTCAGGCCACCGAGCTGTCGGACGGGAGTTTGTCACGTCGGTTGATTAGTAGCATTCTCGTTCGAGCGGTGACGGGCTTCGGCTCGATGATCTGCCAGACGGGGTGTGAAATCTCCTCAGGTAAGGCTTAGCCTGTTAGCTGGCGGAGACAATACTACTGCATGCGGACAAAGATGGAGCCTCGGAGGCGATTAGTAGCTTCTCGTAGCATGGTTTTGGGAAAGGCTGATTCTTGTCGGACTGATGGAAGTGAATGCCCGAACGACTGACTTTGTCCCTGTATTTAGGCACTCGAGGTAACCCTCGGTGTCGGTATGGATGTGCAAAGCGGCAAGACGGGATGGGGTATTCTGGGTAAGGAGGAAAGGGCGAATGCCTTGCCGAGACCTGGGTACCGCGCTCGCGACGGTTGAGCTGCGCTTGAGGTATGGGATAAAACTCTACCGATAGTACCAGCGGAGAGACCATATTGGGATAACCGGTGAGGAGATGACCGGCCCGAATGTGAGGTTGCCTGATTTTTTTTTATGTGTTCCCGCTCTGTAAAATTTGATTGAGCTTGGACTGTTGGACGAGACATATTTCTAAGTCTATCCCCCCCCCCATCTAAGTCCGCACGAGTGAGAGATGATCGGAAGGAAGGAGGATAGAGGTCAATTGGTATGGAACCAAGAGAAAGAATGTGGACAAATGGATGACCGGCCGAGGGATTTATAGGAAGGGGGTACTTAGGAATGGGGAGGTAAAATAGGGAGACCTTGATGAGGAGTCTGAAATAATTCTCATCTAGGACAAGGGTTGACCTGACCAAAAGGATCGTTTGGTGCCTTTTTATGAAAACAGGGGCCGGGTGCTGAAAACAAGATGGCGCGATTGTTGCCTTCCCCGATCTATACTAGCGGCCCGGAAATGCCAGTAGATGTAAAGGATAGGGTATCGGTCGTCCTCCCGGAAAATGGAACGTGGGCGGACCTTGAACCAGCGTATCAAACGGTAATGCTGAAAAGAGAGGATGCTTTCCTTTGGATAGAAACAATATGGACTAATGCCAGCTTGACGAGGTTATCACAAAGTTTAATGGATTTGGAATTCCGAGGGACAGTGGAAGCCCGGGGGTGGGTCTACTTACCGCAAGATGGGGAGAAAGCTATAATCATAGAGTTGACACTCGGGAATACATCGGACGAGTTGTTTAGGAAGGCAGAAGCAGAGGTTGTGTGGGCTGCATGTCAACGGAGGGGAAATGAAAATGGAAAGGGTAGACGTACGGGCGAAACTTAGGGATAGAGGAAGCATGAGGCGGCCCGTAAGAACCATGCGATGTGTGCTGCCCCCCTTCCTAGTGGATGCAGTTTTCGGAACTTGGAGCAGGCTAGTACGGATACGCCAGTCCATGACGAACCTCGGGCTATACCAATACGCTAGGCAATATTTTTTTCGGTTATCAGTAAGGATGGGGCCATTTGAGGGGAACTGGGCGGAGGAGCTGGCGGAGATACTAAAATGCCTTAGCATAGACAACATTTTTGTCCCTAGCGCTGTGCATTGGGGGATAGTCTATAAGAATGTGGCAATAGGGGAGACGTTTCTAGATGGGGTAAGGAAGTTGGTGTACGACGAGGAGGACGACCTCAGTGATGAAGATGAAGATGGAGAGATAGAGGACTGAGACTTCTAAGAGGGGTGGGGTGATTTAACTTAGGAAGGACGGGTGACCTGGTATTATGCAGGAAAGGGAAAGATGACTAAAGAAGAAAGGATGATGGAATACACCTTCAAAGGTTGGGAACCACGACGACTCAGAGGAGGAATAGAGATGCCTATACCAACAGGGAACGAATGGAGGGGGACCACATGAGACTGGATTGGGTTTGAGGTTGCCCGGGACTTGTCATATGTATGGATAGAGCGGATTTGGAACCCGATAAGGGAAGAGGAAGTTGGGATGATATAGCAGAAGGCAAGGTAGAGTCAGTCGGAACGATTGTCGTTTCCGAGGATGGATGACATCTCTCTGTCTTGCACTATGTTAGCAATGGGACAGGACCCGATGTGGCTTCTAGGGGATGTAGAGGCCCGAACCCGAAAAGAAGGCAAGCGGTTCGCCAACGAGGGATGAGACGAAGTTAGTAGCAGAGTTGTGATGGGCGGATGGAAGAAATTTAAGCCTCCAAGTCTACGAATAACGGCTTGGGTAGCGGAGTTTATAGCCGAGTGGTTTGGAGGGTTTGAACACATTTTGGAAGTAGCCGACTCCATGAGAAAGGTGCATATAGAGTGTGCCTGGCTGACTGAGGAGTGTTATAGGCTCTCATTGAAATATGGACCCTTCTACGGAGATAAAGCCGAGGAAGTCATCATCGTCCTAAGAATAGGCAGGTATGACCGCTTAGAGGTAGAGGCGGAGTCTTGGGACGCCATAGTTAGTCGGGAGGCGGCGACCGCACCCTCCTACGTAGACGGTGTCTTTAAACTATTTGAGGTGCTGTGGTTCGACTAAATGAGAACGAGGGATTGAACACCGCGAAAATGCCTGAGTGTGGAGGGTCTGTGAATTGAGGTGTAACATAAGAAAGGGTGTGTGTACATTAGGTTGTGGATGGTGCATAAGGATCGAAAGAAGGGGGAATTGGCAGCAACCGGAAAAAGGGGGGGGGTAGAATTGTACGTGTATGAGTCGTGGATAGCGGCAAGAACCAGTGTACGATAAGTAGGGAGGGCTGAAAGACTAAAACACGAAAGACATGGAATCTCGGTGGGTGCAGCAATCGGACTAAGAAAGCAGGAAAGGAGACATTGCAAGATTGCCCGACGAATGACGTTCTGGGAAGATAGACCTCGTGGGATCCTGCCACCAAGAATATCAGAAGGACAGAGAATCGATAAATCCGGATGGTACCAAAGAGAACCGGAAGGAAATCTCCACAGGAGAAAGCTCGGGGAAAGCCGGGGGAAGCAGGCAAGGGACTCAGGAGACCAAGGAGGGCATAAATAAGGATAGGACAAGCCTCCGAAACTCGGAAGGAGCCATGTCTAAGAAAGTAAGGGTCACGGATGCGAGGCGCAAACTAGCCAAGATAGAAAAGAGGACCGCGGAATACAAGGCAAGATTGATTGAGGAAATGATGACTGGGAACAAAGAAGGCCCTCTGCAGGAGGAACCCCGGGACGAACGGAAAGCCAGCCGAGGTGGGACTCGACAAGGGGATAAAGGTAGTGATCGTGGGGGAACGCCAAGCAAGAGAAGGAAAGAGAGAGAGAACTCTCCTGGGATGAAAGCAGAAAAGGCTACGACTCCGCCAACCATGGATAGTAGGGCTAGCCCCCTGCCGACCACGCCAGCAGTAGCACGAGGATGCGAAAGACTTTGGAGCCTTAGGGAAAGAGTGTTGGGATGGTTTGACCCGGAAGGAACTTTGAAAGTCAGGGAGGAATAGAAGGCCGGCAAGGAAAGTCCGGATAACAGTATGGCAGGCGAGGCCAGCAGCTCCGAGGGCGGCCTTAAGAAGATAGTGTCGTCCCTCGCGCGAGCACTAAACAAAAATCAAGGCTACCTAACGGATGCTAAGAAAAAGTTGACGTTTGATGGGGCGAACATCACGAAATTCCTGATAGATTACGAGAATCTGGCTGCGTTGTTGAAATGGACCGAAGAAGAAAAGATGGACCACCTGGGGCAGCATGTGTCTTTGAGCCTAAGGCGGGACATAATGGCCATTGTGGCCGCGAGCCGGTCCTGGAAAGAAACCCGAGATGTGATGATGAGAAAATATCTGGCAGCAGAGAAGATGGCAACGGAGGCCAATTTAGCGGCAGTCTAGAGGAAGAACTTCGCAACGTACAATGACTTCCTACGAGAGTTTACATTGGTAGCACTAAGAATCCCCGGGGTCATGGACCGAATAATGAGTAAGTACTTCCTCAGACAGTTCTCCGAGTTCGATAAGGACAAGATTTTGTCGACTTACCAACAGACGAGCAAATTTGTAAACACTAGGGACGTTGATTTCATCACGGTAACGGATGTGGCCGAAAAGACGGTAGTGACGGAGACATTGGCCTTGCCTAAGGAAGGGGAGGTCATAGATCTGACCGGTAGAACAGGCGACAAGGTAAAGAAGGGGATTGAAAGTCTACATGAGTGGGTGCACGGGGTCGACAACAAAATTGAAAGAATGGAGGGCGCGCTACTGGTTATGCAGGCGCAAGTATCCCGACCCGCCCTCCCTCCCCAGGAAGCTGTGGTTCTGCCAGCAGTAGCCAACCGGGGATTCGGACGGAGAGATCCTGCTAACGAGCAATGCAAGTACTGTACCGCGATGGGACATTATGTGCGCGCATGTCCAAAGCTCAACCATGATATCCTAAAAAGGAGATGCACCAGGTATTTAAGGGAGAGATATTCGGACCACAGGGAGAGCGGGTGAATTGGAACTCACCAGGAGGAATGCGACGAACCGTTATCATGCTCAATGGGTTAGAGATAGCGGTCGTAGAAGCTGAGTCGGTGGTCGATATCGTTTGGGATCAACTGCGGGGCCGCGGGTCGCAGATCAATTTTATCTTGGAAAACGACGAACGTGATAGGGTGAACGCAACCACTCGACTAGGAACGGCTGGAAGAAGGATTAACCATGATACCATTATTGAGGAGGTCGTCGGAAGCTTCGAACTCCAGGCAGAACCTGAGGTCGAGGAACCAGAGAAAGTCTATGGGAAGCCTCGGGAAGAGGAGCCTGCGAACAAAGTTACCGCCGCTAAGAAGAAGTTTAGGTATCAAATTCCGATCTTGACCTTGCCTGAGCTCGACGATACCTTTAGCAAGTTACTAGGGACCATGGTGTCAGTGTCTTTTCAGACCATGCTGCAAGCTCGTCCTAGGTTGCTCAAAGGGCTTAGACAACTGTTGACTCGGCGGCGAGTAGAAATAGGCGAGAACCTCGAATTACCAGAAGGGGAGAGGGCGAAGGAAGCTCCACAAGAAGTGGCTAACCTTCAGAGGAGCCACGGGGACTTGGAGGATCTCGAAAAAGCCTTTGCAAACATTCCTTTGAGCTTGCCCGACCGAGAGGCCGGCGAAGTCATGAGATCACCACCCGGGACAGAGCTTAGCTTTCATGCACTGCCCGTAGGGAAACTGAAAATCCAGATCGGGACTCATCATACCGACGCGTTAGTAGACGGGGGAGCAGAAATCACTCTCATAAGACGAGATTTCGCAACGATCACGGGATGTACGGTAAACAAGCAAGTAACAGGGAGCATCCGGGGAGCTGGCGGGGAAATCCCGTTCGCTGGGTACGTCACGAAGTGTGCTGTAAAAGCAGGAGTCAGGGAATCGATCTGGTCGTTTCAGCGGATGACCGTAATGGAGGAAATGGACCACGACATAATCCTCGGGAGACCGTGGTGCGCAAACGTGGAGATGATAGGCATGCACTTGTACGATGGCTCATACATGGTAGACATAAAGGACCCTGTGACCGGTCGGGGAGAGCTCCTCCGACTCCTTGGAACGGGAGGAGACCCCTCGAAGGGGAAATTGGCAACATGGTCGCCGTCGTTCGAGGATAGCACGCGAAAAGGGGTTTTCGCACGGATGGAGGGTATGAGAGAAAGGGTAGAAATCATGATTGAGGAAGCATTTAACAAGAAGGAGTGGATCAAGATGGGCCTGCCCCAGAAGAAGAGGAGGCAGGAGGACGAAGTCCTAGGTGTTATGGCTGTCTCTTATACACATCTAGATGTGTATAAGAGACAGGATGGAGGGTATGAGAGAAAGGGTAGAAATCATGATTGAGGAAGCATTTAACAAGAAGGAGTGGATCAAGATGGGCCTGCCCCAGAAGAAGAGGAGGCAGGAGGACGAAGTCCTAGGTGTTATGGCTGTCTCTTATACACATCTAGATGTGTATAAGAGACAGGATGGAGGGTATGAGAGAAAGGGTAGAAATCATGATTGAGGAAGCATTTAACAAGAAGGAGTGGATCAAGATGGGCCTGCCCCAGAAGAAGAGGAGGCAGGAGGACGAAGTCCTAGGTGTTATGGTAGCGGAAAAGGAGTCAGAGGTCGAACTTGGTGCTAGCCTGCCCAAACGGAAAGAAGTACGCATAGACGTGTCAGAAATCGCACTCGAGATCCCCGATCTATTACAACTCATCAAGGCCCTTAGATACCACAAGGTAGGAGTGGATTCGGCAGCCTTGGCCAAGTTCAAAAGAGAGGTGCAAAAAGGATATTGCTTGAATGAGAAACTAGTTAGTATTCAACCACGAGTCGTAGAGGCGACGGGGGTGATTCCGACTATTCATTTTTTAAGAGAAAGATCCCGGAAGGAAGTGTTCGAAAGTACAAGCCGGTAGGGAAGAAAGCAAAACCGGTCTTGATCCTGCTAGAGACATCAAAGGAAGAGGCTATGGAGAAGGAGGAAGAGGTCCTTCGAGTGATCTGAGAAAGAAGGGCGACGGTGGGACATCGGATACCAGATGGGGTAGCTGACATAATGAAGATAGGGATAGACGGGTTCTTAACAGAAGAAGAAACCTGCCTGATCAAAAGGACCTGCCAGGAGTTTCACCTGGGATTTGCCTATAGTGATCACCAGAAGGGACGACTGGATGCGAAGCTGATCCCTCCAGTCAGAATCCACACGGTAGAACATGAGTGTTGGAATGACAAGGGTCGTCCTATGAATTTGAGATAGTAGGAGAAGTAACAGACCTCCTCCGAGCAAAGATGGACTCCTTCGTTGCGGAGCCTACGACATTGCCATACACAAACCGGTGGTTCGTCTTTTGGAAGCCTAACAAGACACTAAGGTGGATTCAGGACCTGCAGAAGTTGAATGCGGTAACCATCCGGGATGTTGGCTCGCTACCTCAGGCTGACTTATTAGCAGAATCGCACTCTGGTCGGAGCATTTACTCCCTAATAGATCTGTACTCAGGGTACGACCAGCTTCCGTTGGATGTTCGGGACAGGCCATACATCGCTATGCACACCTCCGTAGGCCAACTATAGATGCAAGTGACCCCTATGGGATTCACAAACACGGTGGCCGAAACGCAACGCAGAATGCTCGCCGTGGCCGCGGACATGTTCCCAGAAAAATGTGAGCCTTATATTGATGACAATCCGATTAAAGGCGCGCAGGAGAAGGACGAGACAGAAGTTCAGCCAGGGATCCGAAGCTTTGTGTGGGACCACCTGCAGGGCATCAAGAACTTACTCCGTCGGTTCCTAGTATACAACATTCCTGTTAGTGGACCAAAGAGTATCCTAGCAGTACCGGAGGTAACCATACTAGGATTTCGTTGCGGTGCTTACGGCAGGAAGCTAGATCCGACAAAGACCGAGAAGATATCACAGTGGTCGACACCACTGCGCACGACGACGGAGGTAAGGGTATTCCTAGGCGTAGTCGTTTTTTGGAGGATCTTCATTAAGAACTTTGTCAAGATTGCTCAGCCTATCCAGGCTATGATCAGGGAAGAAGGAACCATGGATTGGACGGAGGAGCGAGAAGGAGTTGTCCAAAAGTTCAAGGACATATTGACATCTGAGACAGTCGCCCTGTTCGCACCTTGTTTTAATGACGAAGTAGAAGGACCCTTCATCCTAGAGACGGATGAAGGACCTTTGGCCGTAGGAGGTGTGTTGATTCAAAGGGATGAGGGAGGAAAAGAGAGGCAAATTAGGTTTGAAAGTTGAACCCTGAACTCCGCAGAGCGGTGGTACTCACAGTTCAAGAAGGAGGTCCTAGCCATCTTGCACTGTCTTAAGACCTTTCAGGCCTACCTATTTGGGAGGCGGTTCATCCGCAGGATCGATCCGACGAATGTTGCAGGGGCTTTAAAGAATTACAGACCTATAGATCCGACGGTGGGGAGATGGGTAGGATTTTTCTGGCAGTTCGATTATAAGGTGGGCTGAGCCGGGTCTACATCACTCCCGAATGGGTGGAGAATGTGGAGCCCATAGACGTGTTCCTCGAATACGAAGGAGGAACTCTTGCGGTGGATAACGAAAGGATGAGCGAAGGATGCACGTCGGGATAACTATTGATCCAGACTTTGGAGAAGGGGGCACCTGCCGTAGTAGCAGAACTTAGAGAAGAACCAGTCACCACTCGAGGACGCAGAAAAGAAAATGACTCGTGGGGAGCGATAGTAGGACCGAAAGAGGAGCTAACAGCAATGGCGGTTGAGGGAGGCCAGGAAGCAGTGATGAGCTTAGTGGAATCTTGGGAAAGGAAAGAGTTATAATGGGTGGTAAATCAGATGCAGGAAGGAAAGGACGGGGGCAAGGAAGGAGAGGAGTTTTTCTATGTCCAATCATACGAAGGGCTCTTTCGGGAGATCGGGCTGTTATTGGTAGGAAATAAACAACCTACGGAAGTCAGTATTAAAGCAAGAGAAGAAGCTGAAAGGTACGTCCTGAGGGGCGGGCATTTGTTCCGAAGGGAGGAAGGCGCTATGCCCAGAAGGGTTGTGTGCGGAAGATCTAGGCAAGTAGATGTTATCCAGGCAATGCACGATGGGTTGGTTGGAGGTCATCGATCGTTCAAAGGAACGCTTGCAAAGATGACGCCACTCTATTATTGGTCAGGCATGACAGACATGGTCGCCATATACTGCCAGACTTGCCTTATTTGCCAAGAACGAAGCTCGGTGCGGGTCTTCGAGCCGCTTAGACCAACGCGGGTGCTAGTGCCGGGATATCTGGTCCACCTCGACCTTGCGGTTATGCTTGTATCAACGGATGGGTACAGGTATATCCTCGATGCGCGAGACAACTTGAGTGGGTTCGTGGAGGCGGTCGTTCTCAAGAAAAAGACAGGGAGGAGTGTGACGGACTGGATAGAAGACTTCTACTTGAAACATCCGTTCGTCAGGAAGTTTATAGCAGACAATGAGACGAACTTTGTGAACCAAGAAATATTGGGGATGCTTAAGAGACTCTGCGTACCGATCAAACTCATCGAGCCGTATCACCCTGAGGCCAATGCACCTGTGGAAAGGGGGCACCGAACCTTGAAGAACACGATTGCGAAGCTCGCAGCGGACCATCTGGGGAACTGGCCTAGGTATCTTAAGCAGGCTGTCTTTGCAGAGAATATGACCCCTAAAAGGACAACAGAATGTATCCCGACAGAGCTTTCATACAAAAGAGAGATCGGTTTTCCTGTGGAAGCCTTGGTACCTACCTGGAATAGGTTAGATGATGATCCGCAAATGACCACTGAAGAGTTAATCGAGGCAAAATGTCAACAGAACCTTAAGAACGAGGAGGCCATGGAGTACATCGCCAACCGGGTACTAGACAACAGAATGAGGGACAAAGCAAGGTGGGACCAGGTTAAGAATGTCAGAAAGGAGTCACTTCAAGTAGGAGAGATGATATTGCTAAGGAACTTAGCACTAGAAAGTACTTGGTCAGGACAGCTGGGAAGGAGGTTCAAAGGCCCCTACCGGGTCGCCAAGCGGGTAAGACTGAACACCTTCGAACTAGAAGGTTTGAATGGAAGTGGATAGAAATGGCCCTTCTCGGGGCAATGATTGGTCAGGTTTCTAAGTCGGGATCCAGTGGAACAATGGTTTCAGGATGCCGACGATAAGAAAACTGAGGAGCCACAAGCTAAAGACTGACCACAGCCTTGCCCACACTATGGTTTGTCTCTGACCATGTTCATGGGACTGTCATTTTTTTGGGGGACTGACGCTTTGGCTTGGACTGACTGAGGTTGAAAGGCAGCGTGACTTGGGGGTTTGCAATATTTGGCTTGTGCGACGACGAGAAGGGATGTTTGGGGCATTGTACCATAGTTTTTGATGGGGGGAAAATGAGATTTTCACGAACGACGTTTTTGCATAAGGGAGGGAAATGTATAAAAGGGGCATGATGCGAAGGATACTGGGAGCATTTTTAGGAAAACGGAGCCGTCTACCAGACTGGGGGGGGATGTGTATGCGGGGCATTGCGGATGTTGTTTTGTTATACAGGACCTAGGAGAAAAACAAGAAAAGACAAAAGAATGAAATTCGGCAACGAGAACGACAGCGGGGCGATCAACAAGCCTACCAGAGGGGGGGAAGCCGGACCAAGCCAAGGGAGGAGGGCGGCGAAGAGAAAGTTCTACATAGGACTCAAGGGTGGGTCCGTGCTAGACAGGGGTGAAAGGAAATGCTTGTGTAGGAAACCCTCACCCCTCCGCAAGGGAGAAGGTATAGAAATCTCGTCTGACAGTGAGGGAGGGAAGGAAAAGGCAGAAGTGGAAGAAGGAGGCAATGAAGAGGTGGGAGATAAGGTTCAAGTCTCTTATGAGGAAGGAATCAACAGGGGCAAGCGACGTGAGACTTGGCATGGGGAAAGCGAGAGGGGACAAGACATGCGCAGCGAACATGAGGAGGGTGAGGAAAGAAGGGAAAACCCGCTTGAAGGACGAAGTGGTCACGACAGTTGTGAGAGGTATGAGACAGGGACAAAGATTCCTTTTACCTACGATCTGAAGAACCTTGCAGGTGGGTATAGCCCCATACAGACAGAAGGCGAGGAGGACGAGGAGGAGGATGTACGAGAAGTCATAGAAATCAGCAGCGGGGATGAGAGGAATGAGATCTCGAGACATAGGGAAGAGGGGCGGCCTCCGATGCACCAGCCGGGCGACGGGGCTTTCAGATGGGAGGACGAGTTTGGACCAACACCCAGTCATTGGTTTCAGCAGTGGACCAATGTGATCAGGCACGAATGGATTGTCAAGACTCGGGAACTCGCAAGGGGAGGGGTGAAAGCCACACCACTGAATTTTTTTTTTAGCGAAGCAGAGTTACGAAAAATTGTAAGGATAAGGAGAGAAATCGAGACCTTCGGCCTGGGGGTTAGACAGCCAGCTGAGGAACAGGGTGGACCAAGAAACAGGCAAGTCGAGGCACAGGACAAAAATATGCATTAGATGTTGATTGACTGTTGGGCAAGAATCCTGGTTTTTATTTCTCAATTGCAAAACATTGGAGCAGAATGTGTATAGTATGAGTAAGCTTGCAAAGGATGAGTGATGAAAGAGTCGGCTAAGACTTTGTCGTGATAACATTAGAAGATAGCGTATTGAGGCTACTTTTGGATGAGCTACCTTCGAAAGTGGGTACACAAGACAAGGACATGGGGCATGGGATGAGATCAGTTGGAAAGGGTGTATTGTGAAATTTGGATGGAATGAGGATTGTGTTTTTTTAGGAAAGAAATTTTGAGTACGGATTGACGAGCAAAGCAAGGCATTGAATGTTGGTCAAGAGAGGTTAGGGAACCTATGGGTTAAGGGGCGTGAAGAACACTCCTTCCCTAGGAGCCTAATCCAACCGAGTCATGAATGAGTCTTAGAATAACCGAGATATGAGTGATCAGAAAAAGTAAAAATGGAAGGGGCGCCCCTGTCTCTTGTTATGGTTGAACGGCCGGGTGAGCTAGTGCTGCTTGGGGTCGCGAGCCCAAAATCGAAGTGTTAGACGCTAAGTCGGATGTATGCATGGATGATACATTACTGTGAGAAATGGAATGGATAGTACATTACGGTGAGAAATGGAAGAAAGAGAACAACACGCAAAAGATGAGATGACCACCTTCTAACCTCCAAGACAGAAATGGGATCCGTAACCTCGAGGCCCACCCCCTCGGGCACTAACATTGAGAATGGAAAGGAATGACCCTAACCAGGTTGTTCGACTTGAGAATGNACTTGAGAATGGAAAGGAATGACCCTAACCAGGCTGTTCGACTTGAGAATGGAAAGGAATGGCCCTAACCAGGCTGTTCGACTTGAGAATGGAAAAGAACGACCGGGAATGGCCCCTGACAAGGGTCATTCCTTTTGAAATAGGCACTGGGGTCCCCTGCATATTTGATTGAGAAAGATTGATTGAGAAAGGTTGATTGAGAATGTGCTGGAATGAGCAATAAGAGATGTTAAAGGCTGATGGGTCAGTCATTGAAATAGCCAAAGGATGAATAAGAGAGATGAAAAAGGTCGATGGGTCGGTCATTGAAATAGCCAAAGGATGGATGAGAGAGATGAAAAAGGCCGGTGGGTCGGTCATTGAAATAGCCAATGGGATGAACGGAAGACATGGAAAGGCCGGCAGGTCGGTCATTGAAATAGCCAATGGGATGGACGGAAGAGATGGAAAAGGTCGGTGGGTCGGCCGCTGAAATAGCCAAGGGGGCGGAAGAAAGATGTGAATAACAATGACAGGATAAAGAAGGCGGAGCCTTAAAGCCGAGAAGGGCAGGGACCGTTGGGACGGTCACAGAGATTGGGTGTTGAGGAATGAGAGAATTGAGGATTGAATGGGCGGAAGGGTCAGTCTTGAGAAATGGCTATTGAGAAAATGACCGCGAGACCGGCCATGTGGGTGGCCTCGTTGATGAGAGGTTGTCGGACCAGCCATGAGAATCAGTCTTGGAAATAGCATGGGATTGAGTGTTTGAAGATTGAATATTGCATTGCATAGCCAGGGGACCCCAGGCAACTTGATGTAAGGTCGTTAGAACGACCATGGAAATAACAAGAGATTGAACTTTCTTTTTTTTCTAGTCTCAGGTCTCAACATAAGGGGGATAGCAATGCCTGCATCGCGACCCCAAGACCTCTACCTGTTAAGGGAAAAGTCTCAGCGCGACCTGCTCCTCGTAAGAAGGAATAAGGGTTGAAGGACCAAAGCACCTCTCTCTTTTATTGATGCTGGCCGTCCGGAACTAACCCCGACAACGAACTCTAGTCGGGGAGTTCAAACTGCACCTCATGTTGAAACCTAAACGTCAAGGGCGTGGTGCCAAACGGGCGAGAGAGTCGTTCTTTTTTCTAAGTCTCATTTTTTCTCCCCAACCACACGCCATGCCGTAGAGGGGCGACACGACCGTTTGGAATGGACCACGGCTGCTCACGTTAAGTTGAGTAGCACTGTCCAGAGGGAGGAATCGGGTGTGGTACCGGGTGAAAGCCGCAACCACCACAGAGCGAGTGACACCGCTCTGCCAGATCATTACAACCGTTCCGGGACTAACCGCGAGGTCTTCCTAAATGCACTCGCAGACTAATAGAGAGCCCCAACTCTCTTGAAAGAAAGAGGCCGGATCCAAGAAAACACCGCTCGGGAGGAACGATTCGCGAAAAAACACTTACGGCAGGATGGGGTCCTAGGAGGCTTGGACTGGACCTACCTTCCAGATGTGGGGTGGTACCTCAGTGATGACGCCCGTCTCGTAAGCAGCAAAAGGTCGGACTGGAGTAGGGGATGAGGTGAGTTATCAGCAGGGGGAGGACTGATCACCCTTCCTTTTTGGGGCTGATGGGCCGGCATCCGTCTACTCAGTTGGTGGGCCAAGGTCTGCGTACCTCCGAGTGAGAACTAGTCGTGCGATGGGGACATCACATTTTGACTGGGGGGAAGGTGTGCCATCTACCAAAGAAAAAGCGTGCAAAAGAGAAGGATACCATGAGCGTAAGAATGAATGAGTAATTGACTTTGCGCAGGATTGAAAAAAGTTCTGCCAAAATGTCCAGAAGAAAAGAATGGATGAGTAATTGACTTTGCGCAGGCTTGAGAAAAGGTCTGGCAAGATGTCCCAAAGAAAAGAATGAATGAGTAATGGATTTTGCGCAGGCTTGAGAAAAGGTCTGGCAAGATGTCCAGAAGAAAAGAATGGATGAGTAATTGACTTTGTGCAGGCTTGAGAAAATGCTTGACAAGATGTCCAGAAGAGAAATGGATGAATAATTGATGTTGCATGAGCTTGAGAAAAGGTCTGGCAAGATGTCCAGAAGAGAAACAAATGAGTAATTGACGTTGCATAAGCTTGAGAAAAGGCCGGGCAAGGTGTCTAACTGAGGAAAAGATGTGTGAATGACTCCACATGGGTTTGAGAAGAGACCTGGCGGGATGTCCAGGAGAGAAATGAATGAGTATTTGACCTAGCTTGGGCTTGAGAGAAGGTCTGGCAGGATGTTCAGGAAGGAAAGAAATGTGAAATTGACTTTGCATAGACCTAAGGAAAAGTCTGGCAAGACGACCAGAAAAGAGATACATGTATAATGGACTTTGCATATGAGAGAGGTCTGGCAAGAGGCCAAGAGAAAGATGTGAATAAGAGGACCGAGTAACGCGCATTTTAAAGTCTGGATACGAGAAAGGACGAACGAGGATGACACACATAAGCTGGGCAAAATGACACGGAAAAAATACATGGGAACTGGCTAAGCATGATACTGAGGAAAGAGTGACGAGAGAACAGGGATTGCACGAACCGAAAAGTAGATTATTTTTTATGACTCTAAGAGTAATGAATGAGGTGAAACCAAAACGGTTTCTCGAGAATATTTTCTCAATGAAATGGGAAGACAAATTTGAGATTACGAAGCACTTAAGGGGAGTTGTGCCTGGACTCACTGATTCAAAGTGGGTATCACCACAACAAAGGCGGCGGTTATACTGGACGAACATCCCCCTTCCGAGGCAAATGCCTAACATTGAGTCGCATCCGAAAACTTGCCTACAATTTGTTATCAACAAAGCCAAGGCATAAAATGAGAAAACCAATTGTGTTGACAACAAATTGTCACCCTGGGAATAAAGCCAGCATACCAGTAGTTAAGTGCATGAAGCAAGGAGAGCCTCGTCTACTTCATGTTACTGAAGTTGAAAGAATTATGGGCTGCCCTGCTGGGTATACAGAGTTGATTGAAGAGGAAGTTTGCATCTCAATTGAGAGAAAGATAAAGAGGCAGAACTATGACGGAAATGAGCAACCTGGTCTAAGCTGTAGAACCTTCGACCCCCCCCATACCCTCCTCTACCCCAAGGGGCGGAGGCTAAGGAAAACTTTGAGAAAGAAATGGGAAAAGAAAAAAACGGACCCTAACAAACTAACCATCTGTAACATCTCATCTCCCTCTCTCATCTATCCCTCAAAAACTCACTGACAAGAGATTGGTGCACGATGAGGACCTCGTGAAAGAGTGGGGGGAATGTGTCGGGACAGATGAGTCCCGAATAACTTCCCA